TTTCTCAAACCTCTCGCTTGTGAAACACTCTTCTGGCCCCATGCTTTCCCGCCCACTTTAATCTTGCAAGAATTTAAATGCAATGCCAATAGCTGTCCTCCTGAATGCTCTTTCTACTTTTTATGTTTTTGTTCCTAATTTCTCCACACCCTGTAACCTCTCACATGCTACTGTCTGAACTGCCTTCCTTGGGGTGACACTGAAAAAAAAAAAAAAAAAAAATTGTTACAATACCTCATCTCAGAAATATAGACAGATGAAATAGGAAACATGTTTCACTTTTATTAAAGCTTCATCAAAGAATGAGATTTGGAGAAAAAATTCTAGTATTTTTACTTTGATGTTTTGATTTTCATTGGTTAATCATGTTTTATGCATATGACTTTTTAAATCAGTGTTAGTATAATTTGTGATGTTCTGAATTCAAGGAGAGATGTGTCCAATTGAAGTTTTAACGGATTTCAAACCTTCCTGAAAAACCATAAATATTGCTTTATATATTTTAAATCTAATAATTCTAGTTTGCCTATGTTGGATCGAGATGATAATGTATATATGTAAGTATGTCTAGTAGACATTATGTCTTGCTGCATGTTGATTTGGGAACATTTTACGTACACTTACAATAATTAATAAATATAGTATTGTAGTTGATTCACATTTTTATAAACTTGTAAATAAACAATCCTATAAAGTCAATAGTATTTAATTTATTTAATTCTTGTTTTAATTTTCAAGTAATAAGAGAGCATAAACCCATAAATTTTTGGATTTTATTAAAATTCGAGAAATAGCTTAAATTAAAATTCAAGAAATAACAATGTCTAGAGGAAAAAACTATCCTTTTGATATATTTATGGGAACAATTAACAAAGAGTTTTCACTTGTATTTTTTCTAACTAAACATATTGATAACTTGTTTTGAGGGTGTCGGTTTTATAATACAAGCATGCAATAATTTAATGAGGGACATATTTAATTAACACATCTATATAATAAATGCGAATGTCACTGTCATACGTTTCAACTTTACCCCTAGAGGCTGTGTCACCCAACATATCATACCATTTTGGAATCTGGCCGACTTTGTGATCAAATTAAAAACAGTCTAGGTCAGATCTGGACCCACAATCCTGAAATTTTGGATTCTCAAGTTTTAATTACTGCAATTGTTTTTTACCTTTTTTTTTTTACTGGTACATATGTTAAACTTTGTCAAAATGGATTTAAGATTTGCAAGAGTGGTGGTAGAAATTCAAGTAAGAACTTTTTATTATACATTTTGTTTATCGTCATCGACATCTCATGGTGATGTGAGCAAGAATGTATTTCATTATTTTCTTTTTCATTCATTCTTTCCACTTGCAACATAATGACCATTCTTGTTTACTGTCGTTACAGTTGAGTGCTGCTTGACCCTCGTGGCCTGTCTCATGTTTGCTATAGTTCTGTATTTCCTACTCTGCTGGTTTTAGGCTCAGGTAAAATTTAGTATTTTGAATTCTCATTTCTTATGCCGTCCTCCCCCACTCCAACTTGGAAGATCATCCTAACAATCTTCCTTTTTCTCCAGTTTGGCTTTGTAATCTACTCAGCCGCTATGCTTAGTAAACGTATCATCCTAATGATTGGAAAACAACGTCAATTCTGTTCATGTCCACACTGTAATTTCCTATGCTATTTTGAAGCCATTTTAATGTTGGCCAAATTTATTGCTTTCTACCACAAGTACTCAATTTGTTTTACATTCAATGACCTTTAAGTAGAATGTAAAATGATTTGACAAAAGCATGATAAAAGATTAACTACAATGTCAGTTTTAGGACAAATGACAGGGTATTGAATAACAAAATGGAACAAAATTCTTTGTAATGTTTTTCGTCCTTCAAAAGGACTTTGAAAACATATAGAAAGTACACTAATTTCAGAGTCTTTCATGGTAAATTTGTATCTCGGTTCATACCATGTTTCATCTTTCTTAAATCTACTGCAATCACAATGTGGGGATATTTACAAATAAGTGTTTGGAAGCCGAATGAATTTAAAGTTTAATGTTCCTTTACCTTCAGCATTCGTCTTGATTTATAAATAGAACCAACATTTTTGTTTTAAATTTGTCCCTCCCTTATCTCTCTCTCTCTCTCTATATATATATATATATATATATATATATATATATATATATATATATATATATATATATTCGGGTTTAATTTTATAAAACTTTAAGACAAATAGCTAAATACCTTCCACCCTCCCCTGTCTGGTACCTTTTGTCTGACTGAAACATTGAAATGGATAAATTATGTATTAGTTTTTCAACTGGTGGTGTGTTAAGCTTCTACAGTTAAATTTCTATTTCTGACACAAACTCTGTCCATGCTGAGGTTGATAAGACAGAAGACCGATATCTTTGTCTGCTGAAATAGGCTATTTCCCATATGATGTGATTTTATTTTATTATATATATATATTTTATATATATTTATATATATATATATATATATATATAGAAACATGCCTGATTAAACAATTTAGACATGTTGTGTTCACCTATTTTCAATAAAATCCTTTCATAATCATGTATAGGCTTTTTTTGTTTCAGGATTAAAAACAGCAAGAAAGGTACTATTGTTAAATTTATTCATTTTTAATTATCACACAATATCATCAGCAGGGTTTTGATGACCAAGATAAATAATTGTGTTTGTCCGAAATAACTTAATTCAGACAAACACAATTATTTGTCACACACACACACATATATATATATATATATATATATATATATTTATACAATCCATGAAATGGGAAGATTATATTGAATCAATTTTGTAGGTCTGCTGCTAGGAAAGTTCGTTCACTGGGTTGTACTTGATAATTCTTCTCACTCAAATCTATCCTACATGTTTAAGTCTACCATTTGCCCATGCTTTGAATATTACTGCCACATCTGGTCTGGTGTTCCTGCTGTATATTTAGAGTTCTTTGATAAAATCCAAAGAAGAATTTGCAATGTTATTGGTTCTGATCTGACATCAGTCACTTTCCCAACACCATAATGTAGCTTTCCTGTGCTTTTTCTATAAATACTTTCATAGTAATTGTTCTGATGAACTTTACTCTATGGTAGCTAGACTGCATAAATTTAAGAACAATACTAGATTGTTAGCAAGGTCTCATCCTAGATGTGACCATAAGTTCTATGCTAAGTTTCTTTTCTCACTTTTGGAACTCTATTCTGGTTTCTTGCTTTCCAGTCAAGTTTGATCTTCAAAAATTGAAATGCAATGTCACTAATTATCTTTGGTTTTACTTCTTCTTTTGTTGTTTTTTGCTTCTTAATGTTTTCTTTTCATCTCATATTTTTTGGTAACCTCCAGCATGTTAGTGATATTTTTTTTTTTTTTTTTTTTTTTTTTTTGCCTTGCTTGGAGTGATTTAAAAAAAAAAGCCAATATTATTGTTACCTATTTTTGTTATTTTTATTGGATACACATGTTTGAATAGAAATCTCTCTTCAAACAGTATAATTTTCCCCTACCAGCCTGGGATTTTCAAGAAGGTTTAATGAAAAATTAAGAAAATATTTTAATGGGCACTCTGCATGTGTAACCTTGTGTCAGGACTGAGCTTAACAGATAACTGTAAACTGGGACAGATTAAGAGTCTGCAAAAATAAATAATTATATACCCATGCAAAAATAATATATATATATATATATATATATATAATCCCTTATTGATATTTTTATTTTTATAGTGCTTAGTGTTTTACTGGTTTTTAATATATATATATATATATATATATATATATAATATATATATTATTATATATATATATTTTATATATTTATAAATATATATATATATATATATATGTAAATTTATATATATATATATATATATATATATATATATATATATATATATATATATTTATAATATATGGCATATATATATATATATATTATATATATATATATATATATATATATATATATATATATGTGTGTGTAATTCTTTAAGGTGAAGGACTCTAATTCCAGTAAGTGTTTTTCTCTTCTTTTTTTTTTTCTCCCTCTCCTAATTCTAATAGCTTTAACTTAAACCATTTGCTTACCCTTCTAGCCATAATGGATATACACTATAGTATATATCGATTGGCATAGAAAAAAATGTCTTAGTGCTAGAGTTTATTTACAGGCTGTTTTCTCATCAGACTTAGTACAAGAATATCTGCAAAGATTTTGTCATACAAACCTTGGCAAGAACAACCTCTTTCTCCCACTGGGAAATTCATTTGTTTGGCTTAGAAGAAATGGTTCTCAAGTTGGAAATTTTGGTTTTCAGGCAGATGTTCAGCCTTTAACTTGGGTATTTGATAATCTAATTTGCATAATTTTCTTTTCATTTATTCATTTTATTTGATTCTTTTCCTCTTGGAATATTAAATCATAATCTTCAAAAAACTTATCAAATACTGGGTTTCATTTGTTTAAGTTCTCTGAGATTATTTGATAAGTTAAACTAGTCACGTGAAAGTTGTTCTATTTGTACTCAAGGAAGAGGTCAAAGAGCAATAATAAATAATGGTTAATAATAATAATAACTAATAAATAGCAAAAAAATATTTCTGAATGTTTTCAATTGCTATTCATGACCTTTTGGAGTAGAGTTTTCCCTCTTAGACTTGGAATAAGAAACCACAGTGCTGAATTTAAATTCCAGTCAAGTTCACTTGCATGCAAATATAATTGGGAAAGGTTTAAATCCATCTCCTCCCCACAGCTATGGGTTAAATAGTATCTGGAAAAATCATTATCTCCAAAAATTGTTACTTCACTTGAGGAAAAAAAAAAAAAATTGAAATCTAAAATATGCTTTTTTTTTTTTTTTTTTTTTTTTTTTTAAATAAACCAAAAGGTTGATACACTAAAAAAACAAACTGGTCTATTGATTTAGACTAGAAAATAGATTCAAATATCCTTTTGAAAAATATGATTAGAGTAGAGATAGCTTTATTTTTCTTTTTTTCTTTTCTTCTTGTTCTTCTCTTTTCTCTTTCTCTTTTTTCTACTCTTTTCCTTTTTTTCTACTCTTTTCCTTTTTTTCTTCATTTTGTCATATCCACAAAATAATGTAAAGTTGTTGTTTTGTGTGTGGGTTTTTTTTTTTTTTTTTATGTAAAAATCAATTTCAAAGCAAAAATTTGGATATTTTTCAAATTTTGGTGTATCATTGGTTAAAAAGGGATTTAGGAGATCTTGACCAATTCAAGGATCAATATTTGAACTTTAACATTGATGTAATCTGGTCTAATCTTTCAATGCACAAGAAATGTTAAGTATTTTAAGTATTTGAATTTAATTTTTTAAACTGCACAATATAACAAACAAATTTCCAAAATGGAGCAAAAGCTTTGAATAAACCTGGAAAATAAATATCACGTTTGATTAAAACAATGTAAGCAACATTGCATCACAACTAAAATCAAAACATTCAAGTTTTTGGTAAAATGACCTAAAATTGTTAAAATATAACTCCGTATATATATGAGTTAACTTCCCCCCCCCCAAAGTGGAGAGAGGATTGTTATAAAAATTAAATTTCCAAAGTCAAAAAATACACTTTATAGGCAAATGCTGTCATGAAAATATTTCTTGCCACACCTAATCTGTATACTGATGAAATAGATTCATTTAAGCTGCAAGGCCTTTCCTTCTCAACATCCAACTTGTTCTTGTCGAACAAGTTTTTCATTTTCTTCATTAATCTCTGGTGAGAGTCCCAACTGGCATTTGAGTGATTTTGGAACATATTTTCTTGCTGCTATTACAATGTAAACATGGCCGCTCCACTAGCAGTGTGCACCTATGATGAACAAAGAGCAGTGAACCTAATCTACAGAGAACATACTACCTCATCGATGCAAACTTGCTTGTTTGCCATTACCGTCTCTCAATCTTGCTGAATCTTCTCATCAATGTTGGAGGTTGTTGGGTGTTCTGCTCCTTCATACGTCATGCTTGTCTGGCTACTTTTAAACTTCTCAATCCACTCATACACACTTCTACATGCTGTCACCATATTTTAAACACCTCCAATGAATTTCAGCCTCTCACAGACCTTCTGACCAGAGAAATCTGATCACTGCTCTTTGTTCCACACTGCTAGTAGAGTGGTCATGTTTACATTGTAACAGCAGCCAGAAAACTGGTGCAATCAAGCTCAAACTTCAATCACATGAAAACAATCAACTATAAGCATGCATGAGCAAAAGTCAGTGTGACAAATCTAAAGATACATTATGGGGAAAGTGCAGATAATATTCGACTTACCCTCATAGGTACAGGGTGGTCTGAAAGTCATGTCACTTCCCTACCAAAAAGTAATGAGAACAATAGAACAACAAGTAATGCAGTAATACAAAGCACATGTACTGAATTCAGTTTATTCGCTTTCAATGATGCTGTTACAATTCAAGGTCTGTATGAATGCCATCATTTTCCTGTCAGCCATCTGAAATAGAAACTTATGTAGGGGTGATAAGACTTTCGGACCACCCTGTAGATTGAGATCCCTAAACTTACTATGAATCTAACAAGTATGTATCCATGAACTACATGAAATGGTTCAAGTATGGTAAAAAAACAGTTTTCATAATCATGTAGTTAGTTCCTGGGGACTCATCTCTTAGATATCACCTCTTGTACTAAAAGGGACAATTTCTCGATACATGCATCATGTGAAAATGTGTAAGATTAAAAGATTTATAAGTCCACCATTCATCCATCATTGTATATTGTTGCCACATCTGGTCTGGTGCTTCTAGGTATTTAGATTTTCTTGATAAAATCCAAAGAATCTGCAATATCAGAGATGCTAATCTGGCATCTCGGCTTCAGCCATAACATAGTTTCCTTGTGTTTTTTCCATAAATATTTTCATGGTAATTGTTCTGATGAGCTTTCCTCTGTGGTACCTAAACTTAATGAATCTAAATATACTACTAGGTTTGCGGCAAAGTTTCATCCTTTTACAGTTGAAATGGCTAGATGTAACTGTAAGTTCTAGGCTAAGTTTCTTTTCTTGCACTTCTCACTTGTGGGACTCTCTTCTGAATTCTTGCTTTCCAGTCAAGTTTGTTCTTCAAAAATTTAAATGCAATGTTAAGCGTTATCTTCTGCCTTCTTACTTCCTGTATTTTTATTGTTCTCTCTCCCTAATAATGCTTTATTTTTCTCTCATTCCTTCTCAAGTAACCCCTTGTGTCTTCATGGCTTTATTACCTTGCTTGGGGTTAAATAATTAAAAAAAAAAAAATAAAAAAATACCTATTATTATATAGACATCAAGTTTCAGTGTAGCTTCTTTGTTACTAAATGGCTTTGTTACCAGATGCATACATTCCTAGCACCATTTCTACATATTTGTCTCTGCTGGGTCTTTATACTTAGTGTTATTTAATAAAAGGCTGTCAAGGCGCTTGCTACTTTCTATTGTTTTTCATGTCATGTTGCTCGTCACTATTCCTGCATTGTGGCAAGGGACACTTGGACACACACATGCAGGCACACATTTGGGTTTGTCATATTTGTTTACTGTCTCTTCTTACTGTGACACTGATAAACTTTAGGCTTTACCTGTTCACAAACCAGTTTAGTCTAAAAACATGTCTCTGTGGCTTACACATGCACACATACACACACAATATATATAAAAACTGATAATTTGAAGGCACAATACAATTACAAAATTATTATCCATTTAGTGGTTTTTATTTGTAAAGTAAAAATAACATGACACGAATCAATTGTTGAATTGTAAAATAACAGAAAATTCCATTTACACTGTTATCAGAAGAATCCAGCACACACTCTCTCTCATTCACGAAGCGCTCTCTCTCTCATTCACGAAGCGCTCTCTCTCTCATTCACGAAGCTCTCTCTCATTCACGGCGCGCTCTCTCTCATTCACGGCGCTCTCTCTCTCTCTCTCATTCACGGCGCTCTCTCTCTCTCATTCACGAAGCGCTCTCTCTCTCTCTCATTCACGAAGCGCACGCTCTCTCTCTCATTCACGAAGCGCACTCTCTCTCTCTCATTCATTCAATTTCCTTCTCTCTCTCTCATTCATTTTCTCTTCTCTCTCTCATTCCTCTTTCTCTCTCTCTCTCTCATTCATTTCTCTCTCTCTCTCTCTCTCATTCCCTTCTCTCTCTCTCATTTCCTCTCTCTCTCTCTCTCTCATTCCTCTTTCTCTCTCTCTCTCTCTCTTCTCTCATTCCTCTCTCTCTCTCATTCATGAAGCTTTCTCTCTCTCTCTCTCTCATTCCAGCACTCTTTTCTCTCTCTCTCTCATTCCACATTTTCTCTCTCTCTCTCTCTCATTCATTTTCTCTCTCTCTCTCTCTCTCATTCCACGAATTTCCGCTCTCTCTCTCTCTCTCTCATTCACACAGCTTCGCTCTCTCTCTCTCTCTCTCATTCACATTTTCTCTCTCTCTCTCATTCACAGAAGCTCTCTCTCTCTCTCTCTCTCATTCCATTTCTCTTCTCGCTCTCTCTCTCTCTCTCATTCCTCTCTCTTTCATTTTCTCTCTCTCTCTCTCTCTCTCATTCCTCTCTCTCTCTCTCTCTCTCTCTCTCTCTCTCTCATTCCATTCCGATTTTCTCTCTCTCTCTCTCTCTCATTCCTCTCATTCTTCTCTCTCTCTCTCTCTCTCTCATTCACAAGCTTTTCGCTCTCTCTCTCTCTCTCATTCACTGGCTCTCTCTCTCTCTCTCTCATTCCTCTCTCTTCTCTCTCACATTTTCTCTCTCTCTCTCTCTCATTCCGCTCTCTTCTCTCTCTCTCTCTCTCTCTCTCATTCCACGGCTCTCTCTCTCTCTCTCATTCATTTCTCTCTTCTCTCTCTCTCTCTCTCTTCCATTTCCTGGCTTTTCGCTCTCTCTCTCTCATTCCACTTTCTTCTCTCTCTCTCTCTCTCATTCCACATTTCCCTCTCTCTCTCTCTCTCATTCACTCTGGCTCTCTCTCTCTCTCATTCATTTTCTCTTCTCTCTCTCTCTCTCTCATTCATTTTTCTCTCTCGCTCTCTCTCTCTCTCTCTCATTCCTCTCAGCTTCTCTCGCTCTCTCTCTCTCTCTCTCTCATTTTCATTCTCTCTCTTCGCTCTCTCTCTCTCTCTCATTCCTCTCTTCTCTCTCTCTCTCTCTCTCTCATTCTCTCTCAGCTCTCTCTCTCTCTCTCTCATTCACTCTCTCATTCTCTCTCTCTCATTCATTCATTCAAATACCACGCTCTCTCTCTCTCTCTCATTCACACTCTCTCTCTCTCTCTCATTCCACATTTCACTCTCTCTCTCTCTCATTCCTGAAGCTTCACATCTCTCTCTCTCATTCCTGGCTTCGCTCTCTCTCTCATTCACTCTTTCGCTCTCTCTCTCTCTCTCATTCCACTCTCTCTCACCACCTCTCTCTCTCTCATTCCACGAAGCACCACGCTCTCTCTCTCATTCCATGGCACACGCTCTCTCTCTCTCATTCACGCTTACACGCTCTCTCTCTCTCATTCCACGGGCTTCTCTCTCTCTCTCTCATTCTCTCATTCCACACACGCTCTCTCTCTCTCTCTCATTCTCTCTCTCTCTCTCTCATTCTACACTTCTCACTCTCTCATTCTCAAGCTCTCATCTCTCTCTCTCATTCACCGCTCTCTCTCTCTCTCTCTCTCATTCAAGCTCTCTCTCTCTCTCTCATTCCACGAAGCACACTCTCTCTCTCTCTCATTCCACGGCTCACGCTCTCTCTCTCTCTCTCATTCACGAAGCACACGCTCTCTCTCTCTCTCTCATTCACGAAGCACACGCTCTCTCTCTCTCTCTCATTCACGAAGCACACGCTCTCTCTCTCTCTCTCAAACTTGTGGGTATGTTTTTATCTCTTTCTCCTCCTCTTAAGTTCTTTTCAACTCGGTCATTTGTCACCTGATCTCCTTAATAAGAACTTGCTTCTTGTGGATCACTATCTATACACTTGTCTATAACATTCACATTAAAATTAACCTTGTACCAAACTTGCCCTTGTAGTAAGATAAATAAACATAAACAACTTAAAAATAAATGCCAAACTACTTTTTTTTTTTTTTTTTTTTTGCTACATCATTGTTGTGATAACAATCAAAGTAGCTCTCCTGTAACCCTTGACTTGACTTTAGGAATTACTTGTTTTTGTATAATACACATTGCTAAATAACCTTGCCCCCAAAAGACAAAAAATGGTATTTAATGACTTATTCACTGCACTTCCTTTTGTCATTGTGTGTTTTTTAAATAATTATGGAAACTGGGAAACTGGTTTTCCACCCTCCACTATATCCAATATATTGACATACTTTGCAATATCAAAAATACTGATTGTCAAGAGAAAGAACCTTCTAACTCATTTTAGAGCTGTTTCCCCTATTGACATTGCTCAGTGTATTTGACTCAATAGTTTGATAAACCTTTGACAGGTAAATATCCACAAAGCATTAGATTTGAAATCTCTGTAGCCTAAAAATAGCAGGTTTTTTTTTTTTTTTTTTTTTTTTTTAAATACAAACAATTTTTGTTATATTTTCTACTAAATATCATTAAATGGTGATAGGTATTTGAAAATTTTGGCCACTGGCCAGTTGCTATTACTTTCACTGTACCAAAAAAAAAAATATCTACTCAAACATTTTTACCCACTACTAAATATAACATTAACTAATATTCCATGGTTATAATTTATAACCATGGAATATTAGTATTTGTGCCTTTTTATATTATATTCTTACTGTCCTGGACATTGAGTTCTACTGGTATTCTATCCTCTTGGAATATATATATATATATATATATATATATATATATCAAAATACTTTTACAAACGTTGGGGCAGGTTCCTCAGACAAAAACAAGAACAAAGTCCATATAAATATGTCTGCAAATCTTTCGATTTCGAGTTAAATTTAAAGAAAGTTGATGGTAGATAGCCCTGTGTTACCATGTAGACTAAGTTACATTTGTCATTCATGTACATTTGTAGCTAGTCTGTCTACAAAGTTTAACGTCTGTTGTGAGATAACTGAGAAGTATTCCATTTAACAATGGCAGGATATTCATATCATGAATAGGCAGATAGATTTTTTTACATATGGCCATGTGATTACATGCCTGTATCAGATTGTTTCCAGACTGAAGGCAGCTGAGTTATCCAACCTTTGCTGTTGTTTATGGTTGTTTTTGCTTTCATGGGATCTGTACCACCACAAACTATGGATCGCAGAAGACTGAGATCCACTCGTATACCACGAAGAACATATTCTACAGTGTGTTGGAGATAATCCAGGTATCAGCAAATCATAGTACTGCATAGGGGGTACTTCAAGAACAAGCTCCTGTATCTTTATCATCTGCAATGTGTAGATGGTCTTTTGCCCTCTGATCATGTAATGAAGGAGTTAGCAAGAGAGGTCATCATTTGCCTGCTGCACAAGGAATTCACATGGCATTGTGCATTGTTTGTAGCCATAGGTGGAGTTGATTTTGGTGCAATTTAGACCTGAGCCTCGCATGAACCAGTTTAGGTTGATTCATCAGCAGAAAAGAAGGATTGAGATTGATACCATCATTTTGGAGAAAGGTGTTATTCACAGGGTTTTTGCTTTCATGGGATCAGGACAATTAGCTGGAAGAAACTGAAATGAGACAGTGCTTCTTTCTATTTTGTACTTTAGTTTTTATTTCAGGACACTCACCACGGGAGAACATTTGCCAATGGTTTGTTGTACAAACTGCCTATCCGTTGTTTGTTTCTTCAGTCTTATTTGTTTATTCGGCCTTGTTTACTGTTTACAGATGAGGCAACATTTAATGGCGTCAACTGTAAACTTTAAATTTAATAGCTCAAAAACGAATGATTTGCGGACATATGTTTATATGGACTTTTGCTCTTGTTTTAGTGTGAGGAACCTGCCCCCAACATTTATAAAAGTATTTTTGATACACCGTGTATACACACATATATATATGTTAAGAAATGGACAAGGTCCGACAATTTATTTATTAAAGACATTTTTATGTTTAACGTTATTTTATAGATACAAGTATTTAAGCAAATGCTCTGTTTATGATAAACAGTATTAAATAACATTTACCGCCTGAATGTCCGAAAATTTTCATAGAAAATATTCGTTCTTTGACAGGATTCGAACCCTGCATCCTATACGGAACCGTCATATACGCTGGCGTGCCTTGACCACTCGGCCACAAAGAACCTTCACGGTAGACAAGGTCAATTTACTGTTTATAAACTTCAATCTTCCATGAATCTCGTTTATTCATAACTGCTCTGGCGTATCGAATGTAAACAAATGACGCATATGTTAAGAAATGGACAAGGTCCGACAATTTATTTATTAATTTATTTATTAAAGACATTTTTATGTTTAAAATAACAATAATAAAAATAAATAAATGTTATTTTAATACTGTTTTTGTCATAAACAGAGCATTTGCTTAAATACTTGTATCTATAAAATAACAACGTTAAACATAAAAATGTCTTTAATAAACATACATATATATATATATATATATATATATATATATATATATATATATATATATATACACACACACATATTATAGAAGAGATTTATAAGTGAAGTATTTTAGGATTGATTAATTATGATATCAGATTTTCCAATACTTTATTCTCCAATTTTCAGCAGCATTGTGAAAAAAATTAAGGAATTGTCTAAATAAATGATTGTTTGTTCAGGGTGTGGGGAAGTTAAATTGTCCCCACCAGTGCTAGTGGTTAGGCTTGAGCTGGAGTTTTTTTATTTTATTTTATTTATAATTTTTTTTTTTTTTTTTTTAAAAAAAGATTTTTGACAAGCAAAGCAACTGGGCATTTTTCCTTTTGGATGACTGATCCAGTGCAACAGGATTTTCTTACCAACTCATGTTTTTTGTCAAACTTGGGTAAACATCATTTACATTCAGACTATTTTGTTGTTATTATCACAATGTTTCGGCCATGGTGCCTTCTAGCCTTCATCAGGTGTATATCTATTCAGGCAGTGTATATTTGAACTCAATAGAAACAGGGTGAACAAAAACTGAGCTGTACTAAATACCAAAAAGCAACGAGAACACTAGAACAATACAAATCACATGTATTGGATTCAGTTTATTCACTTTCATTGACACTGTCACATATCGAGAAGGTTTGTATGAACACCATCAATTTCATCTCAATCATCTAAAATAGAAAGTTATATAGGGGTGGCAAGACTTTCAGACCATTCTGTAGATTAGTTCGGTTCTGAATTTCAGTATTTAAACCTTGATAAAATAGTTTCTGTATAATAAAATTTAAATTTAAGGCTGATATAATTTAATAAATGTTTTTTTTTTTTTTTTTAGCTTTATAAAGAGAGAACATTGCTTGCAATTTGTGCAAGTCTAGATTGAAAAAAAAAGTTTCCTTTTTGATCTGCCATCCTGAATAGATTAAAAAGAGGGGAAAAAAAATCTTTGTTTTGCAGATGCCAACTTCATGACTCAGGTTTTCAACAAATTGATCTTCTAAGCAGCACTAAAGAGGAACAAGATTCTGAATCAGGAAAGACGGAAAGTGTGTGTGTGTAGGTGATAAAATCTTTTATAGAATTTTTTTTAATTTTTATACACCTACGTGTATTGAGCAGCTGTCTAGAGTTGACATGATACAGTTTAATGCATATATCTGTAATGTGTGTATATGTTGTTGCATACAAGGTGGGTGAGATATTTAACCTGTAGATATAGGAATATGTACAAGGGGGTGCTAAAAATTTCTCACTTCAATCAAGATTTTCTTCCTTAAAAAAAAAAAAATTGGTATTTTATGAGATTTTCTAAAGAGAGAACTCCTTGGCATCCTCCTCCTCATATAAGTAAAATATTATATAAACATTATTCTCTACAGAGTGGGCAAAATCCCATGTTGTAGTAGATTTGTTTGTTACAAAATAGACATGGAGAATTAAGCATTATTTTCTTTGAAAAAAGTATTTTTGATGTTATCTCTATAAAAGAATAAAAAAAACTTGTACATGTCTATGACAGTTAAAGAATTGAAACTGGGATGTCTCCGGTTAATGAAATGATTTCTTAGAACTGATGAGGAAATGGTATTTTTTCTTCTATTGGTGCCAAGATAATCTGTCTGGGGTAAGATGATAAACTACATCCAGGTTTGAGGAGCATGGAACCACCTCTTAATTGCTGGTGTTCTCAGATCCCCCTTGACCTGGGGCGGTAGCATCTGTTAGGGTCCCATCTCTGGGCAAATAGTTAACCCCAAACTGTGGTTAAAACACCATGAAAGTGTAAAAATAGGTTGTAATACCAGGAATACATTTTTGAAGAAAAAATTATTACCAGCAATAAAAATCTTGTCAGCATTAAATAACCCATTGAGGTTGATATACTGTAAAACAAACCAAACCAAGATAATTAATGGATAACCAGCTACTTGTTTTAAAGCATGCTCATCTGTCATAGTGGCTAGCCAATCCCTGTTGAAGACATCTGCTCAGTTACATTTGTGTATGTTAAGAGCCCACCTGTGGTTTATACACTGATGGTTACAGTTTCTGGGAGAAAGAGCACATCCTCTGGCATGGTTACTGGTTTAAACATGGCCAATATGCTCAAACCCTCAGTCACGATGACTTGTGACTTCAGCCATTAACAGTGTTTTGAATAATTTCATCAACCTGTTTTCCTTACATTTCTATCATCCTAAAAAGATAGATAAACTTTGGTAAATTTGAAAATGTTGGGTCTGATGAAATTTGATTACTGATGAAAGAGATTCATTTTGTCTTAAGAATGTACTGAATAACGAATTTTACCAATTTAATATGAAGAATTAATACTTAGGTAAATTTGCTAGAGACAGGCTTGTTA